TCGGCATTCTGTGTTCATTTGTGATGCAATGTGAGCTAAAATGTTACCACACATTGTTGGCAGGTGGGCCATTCAGATTTGGTGCCTGGTGCTGATCATGCCCTGAATAGCATTCATAATATCAAAGAAGCATTACCTGAAATATGGGAGATTGAAGAAGCCAACCAGCAGCAAAAGATGCAACCCCCGGCAGTTGAAACCATGGTCCAAGCCTAAGTTTTGGTTCGATAAAATATTTAGCAAACTTATCAAGCAAATCATGAGTTCGTATCTATCTAAATTTACAATAATTATGTAATTGTCTCCACAACATGGTGATGCTTAAATATATATATATATATATATCTTGCAATTGGCATCATGAAATGGATGGGAAACTGGTAAATGCAAATCGCAGAACTAGAAATTTGGGTGAGATAAAATATCTACTTAATACTTATATTAGTTATATAATAAAACGGGTCTTTCGTAAAGGTTGGTAGTACAAAATATGGGTGTTGTATCTCTCCGGACAATACACTAAATGCACTAATGGTGACACCCAATTTTGCCTTCAGCAGAGATCAGTGATAGTTCAAACAAATAAACATTGCAGATATCCATAACCTTCCTCCGCCAACACCCTCCTCAACCAAAAATGGAAATTGACAGTAAAAAAACTGTACTTCACTTCAGTATAAAGAATTAGCAATGTTGCATAACTTCCCAGGCCATTATTAAACCTGCTTGGATTCAAGTGTCTTCACAACATCCATTCCATCGATGACATGTCCAAACACAACATGGCAATTGTCTAACCATGGAGTCGACATCATGAAGTCACATTTTTACTTAGTAAGGCCAAAACCTAAACAAACTTTTAACGATGTGTGTATGTATTTTCACTAAGAAATTAAGCATTAAAATATGTGAATCAACATTGTCAGCAATCAAAAGAACATACCAAAAATCATAACATCATATTATAACCTAAAATTTTAAAATATTAGATAAACGTGTCCTTTTTATTCATATATTCTTTAACTCTAACTGGTATAAGATTTATTTCACAATTTAACTTTATTAGAGAGAGATCAAAACTGAATTTTAGTGAAATTAAGACCATCAAAAGTGATATTATGCATAGATGATGGCATCTACAAGTGTCCGGTTAACACTTGTACCGTTGAGTAAGAGACCTTTGCACAAATAAAACTCAGCTATAAAGAGTAAGAGCTACAGGGCTAACTAAATATGAGTTTTAAATTGTAGGCTGAATGATGACACGAACCTCTAAATATTATTTTAACTTTCACCACTAAACGGACGTTATATGGATACACATTGAAGTGTGCAATTGCATTATAATCGATTATCTATAATTTGTTTATAACAATTTAAAGTTGCAAAAAATAAATTAAAAATTTGTGACAATTTTAATAATTTTAAGGACTCAATTACTAAAATTATAGAAACTAATAAAAATTATTATACTTATTTTAGTTTAGCAATTTAGTTAAAAATATTTCAGAAAAATGAAAGACTTACTAATATATTTACCAATAATTTTACATGTAAAAAAATTATAATTAATAAGAGATTAAAATATTATTTTTGTACTTATAATTTTATTTGCAATTTTTGTATGAATAACTAAGTTTATTAAATTTATGTGATAGTGATTTATTTGACTTTATATACGATGTTGTTAAATAATTTTTCACAATGTATTATTAAGATTATTTTAAATATTTTCCATTGGTTGATAATATATTGATTCTAATAATATTTATTAACTTTAACAATGTCTCTTAAAAAAACCAAATAATGATTATATCAACAATGAATCTCATGAGTGTAAAAAGAAAAGGTATGAAGGATACAAAATTTAAATTAAAATAAATTTCATAAAAGAAACATTAAGTTAAAGATCTCATCCACGAGGTAATTTTACAAAGAAATTAATCTTAAAAACTAAAAAAAATGTTAACAAAAATAAATATAAAGACTTAAAAAATTATTTTAAATTATAAAAATTAAAAAAATAAATAAATATAAGTATAAAAATAAAAATAAAAAAAACTATTTAAACCTTAAGAAAATTAGTCAATATTCTAAGCTTGGAATCTTGGACACTACAACTGAGGATACTTGGTTTTGTTTTGTTGTTTTGTTGGTGACTGGTTGAAGTTGAAGTAGTGGTTTGGTTTTGCCGTTTAGCAGAGGAGAAAAAGAGTATGGTGGAGAATAGAACACGACACAAACAATGCGCGCCTTTCCAGTTTCCTCAGAGTCGCACTCCACTCTCCTATTCTCTTCTAATTCCTTTCCCATAACCCACTCCTCCCTCTTCTTCTTCTTCCACCCTTTTCACTTCAAGCCCCACCACTCCCTTTCCACTCCCAAACCATGCTCCTTCAACTTCAGACCCTTCTTGTACACCGCTTCCAAATGCGACCCCACCACTTTGGATGATGAGGATGATGATGATGATGGTGATGGGAACTTGTTGGTGGAAGAGGGCGATGGGGTTGAAGAGGCCTTGGCTGAGGATGGGGTGTACATAGAGGTGACGAAGCTGGACAAGAACTCGCGAAGAATTCAATCGAGGATTTCCATTGAAGCTCCTCTTTCTTCCATTTGGACTATCTTGACCGATTATGAGAAGTTGGCTGATTTTATTCCTGGCCTTGCTGTCAGCCAATTGCTCCAAAAGGGTCACAATTATGCTCGTCTTTTGCAGGTTTTTTCCCCCTATCACTTGTGTTATGCTTCAAATGGGGATCTTAAAGTTTGTTTTTTTATGAAATTGGTTGCATTTTTTGGCTACTTGTCCCACTATGCATTTTATTGATTTGTTAAGTATTGTAATATGAGATTCCGGTAAACTTTTCTTGAAACACTTCTAGGAGAGAAAATTAAGAAGGAAAATTGAAATAAATTTTTCAATAAGTTAAAATTAGAAGCTCTCTTCTATCGACTTTTCTAAATTCTTGTATGCTACTTTGAGCTTATGGAGAAAATTATTTTGATTTTTTTCCTTTATTTTGATTTTTTATTTTTTATTTTTATATTAGAAGTGTTTATAGAGAAACTTATTCGAATAGACTCTAGGGTTGTTTTTGGTTTACTTTCGTTCCTGAATCAAATTCCATTGCTTTTATTAATTTGGTGACGTAGAGTAAGAAGATTAGAATATTTCCTTCATGTCCTTATTGGAGGTTATTTGTATTGGATAACCCTCGTGTGGACTTGTGCAGTGAAGTATAGAAGTTTAATTGCACTCCGTGTTGCTATTGCTATGTAGGGATCTTCCTTTACTTGATAGTTGACTTTGCTTTTCAATCAATGTTACCCATGGTCCTTATGGCCCAGCTGCTGGAAATTGCAATATAAACAAATTGGCGCATAATTGGGAGGCTTTCACAATTCCAGAGTTTTTAATGCAATATAATTCTGTTTGGTATATATCATGAATTTTTTTTCTAGTTTTTGGTGATATGTTCATCTAATACTGTCAGTCCTTTAGAGTTTAGACCAGTTTTTAATGCTCAAATATAACTAGCATCTTCCCATCATAGACATGCACAGTCACCTCATAGTAAAGTGGATAAGAAGAAAAAAAAACTCAAAGTGTTAATGCATGGGTATTCATAAATGACTTTTGTTTTAAAGATGTGGAGTGCCCAGCTTCATGATATATGATTCTGTGGTATATGTTTCATTGGAGATTTTTGACTTCCATTGATGGCTTTAAAATCATTTAGGGTGTCTTTAATATATACACCGAGGAACAATGCCAGCAAAATAGCACAATACAATTACCAGAGTCACAACACTACTTTTTGAGCGCTTCTGCATTTAATCAATATTAGTTAGATTAGTTAGATTGAATAGTTCATTTAGCTAATTTGCTTTCTTAAAAGTATATCTATATAGATATATATAGATATCTATACCTATATTCTAATAAAATTGGAAAATTATTATATATTATAATATAAAATAGAAATCAAATAGAAAATAGAAATAAAAAAAAATCTTTTTTTCTTTCTGTTTGCTGTTAGTGTTTATGGATGAACAGGACAATGAGTTCTGTGCTATATGCTATTTGATTTGTACAGGATAATGCAAAGTTTAAAAGCAAGCATAGAACATCTACCGAGTAACAAATTTTTAGACATTTGTCCTGTACTTCATCCTCTCTTTTTGTTGTTCCATGACTATTTTTAAAGAAAAGCATAGAACAAGTGTTTTTTGTGTTGCCCAAGCTTCATTTTTGTAGTAATCAAACGCACCTTTAGGCATCAAGTGTGGGTGATGATGATGATATGATGCTTATGTATCTACACCTTCAAAGTACAGGAATACTAACATTAGTGTAGTGAGTATATGTATTGCACACGTTAGTTGGTGCAGCATTCTACTTTCAAAATGAGGGGTGTGATCCTATGCTCAGGGACGGAGCCAGGATTTCAATACTGGGGGTGCCATATAGGGGGTGCCATATAGTAATATACATATGAGTTTATATTAAAAATATGAGTTTATATTAAAAATAGGGGGTGCCATATAGTAATATATATGTATATAAAAAAAAATTAAAATTGTTGGGGGGGCCGTGGCACCCGTAGGTCCCCCCTTGGCTCCGTCCTTGCCTATGCTTATATCACTGTTTAAGTTTTGGTGACAGTGAATGATTTTGAATGAATCCAGGTTAAAATCAAACTTTATATATGATTATATTATAGTGAGGCCAACCATGATTTTACTTGCCTAATTTACGTCCTCCGAGTTGCAACCTTTACAAATTCAATGCCACTGTTTTAATTTCCTGTGACCTGAACTATAAATTGATATTCTTTTTGGAGTAAATGCATTTGGATTGAATTATAATTTTGTTGTTACATTATCTGAACAGATTGGACAGCAGAACATAGCATTTGGGATAAAATTTAATGCTAAAGGAATTGTGGATTGTTATGAGAAAGAGTTGGAGACTCTTCCTTCTGGTATGAAGCGGGAAATTGATTTCAAGATGACTGAAGGAGATTTTCAACTCTTTGAAGGAAAATGGTCTATTTGGCAGGTAGGATTTTAATTTGTTCCCTTGATTTCAGAATTCTTCTGGATCCAGCATAAAGTCGTATTAATTTGCATCACTTTTCTGTATCATAAATATTTTTCAAATGTTTAAAACTCTTAGTTACTAAATTTCACATTGTGAATTTCTTAACGGATCATTCGTTGCGAGCCTTTGTTGGCGACCGACTAGAAGTGGCGGGCGGGTATTATCATATTGTGGAAACTCTAATTTTATAATTATTTTAGGCTATTGATCAAGTCTTTGACTATGATTTATGCGAAGCTTGGCATCTATATCTATATTATTGACAAAAAGAGATCTTTGCTTTTATCTGAACCTTTTCAATAGGAAAATGATTCAGACTGTGCTGAATTCATTCCGAATCATTAAAATAATAATTTAAATTATAAAATATTAAATTAAATAATTTTTGTAATAAATTTATTAAAAAATATTAATATTTTAAAGTTTCGAACGATATTTCGGACAACTGTTTCAGAGGCTATAGCATAACTCTTTTCAATATATTCATTGCTTTTATTTTGAAGGATGCTGAAATTTTCTAAGATTTTGAAACCACATATTCAACTGGTTGACATACTAATACAATATACCTTAAACAATGATGATGGTTTTGCAGAAGTTCAAGAAAGAGAGTTGTGATCGGTCCCAAGTCCAAGAAGTTAGTACGACTCTGTCATACACTGTTGATGTTAAGCCAAAGCTGTGGTTGCCTATTCGTCTCATAGAGGGTAGACTTTGCAATGAGATAAAAATGAACCTTGTATCCATTAGGGACGAAGCTCAAAAAGCCACTAATTCTAATGAGTTATGTAATTAATTATACATTGTGGATCATACAAAAAAAATGAATGAATACAAGTATAGTTCACTCATCAACGCTCATTTTCTAAACTTGCAAGTTTGGTCCTATGCGCCCTCTAGAATATCATCAAGGGTCTAGACCATCTGATATTTACGTTGATAGGTTTACATTTGATTCCAGTACCCTTGATTTATGCTAAATTAAATTTAGCATAAATGTGATAAAAATATAATTAAATGAGCATGAAGTTAAACAAAAGGCAACATTCTAAATGGGTAGTTACGTTCCATGTTGAACAAGAAACAAGAATGGGCTTCTCGAAGTTCTCATGGTTGATGCCTGATGGAAACTGTCCACTGACACAAGTAGTTCACACTTGTATCCTTGATAATCAAGAGAAGCAAGTTCACCTAATAACTCCCCAGCTTCCTGCAATCTCAACATCAGTTCTAATGGTAAAGTGAAAGGAATGTCTAATGATAACGAAGTGAATAGATATCAGTTATTGAATAATGTATTTAAGAATTCAATTTTAGGCAATAAAATATATATTCTTTAGCAAATAAATGAATAAAACCTGTTCATTTACTACAACGGTGTTCCATGGAACTTTAGGTTACTTTTTGCTGGGATAGAATAAGATGGAAAGAAATGATATAAAATGAACAAAAATAAAATCAGTATTAAAGTTGATTAGAATGTGAATAAATAATATATGCATTAATTAATATGTAAAGATTTGTTATATTGTGGTCTTATTTGTTTATCTTTATATACATTTATCTTTAAAAATACATTCACTTTTCCTACAACACTTTTCATATCGACATAATTCACAACAGTGCGTGTCCAAAAGCGATACTGTGAAAGCCACGGTAGAACTGAAGCAGTACGTGCGTGTCGCTTGTAAAGGGCCCAATCCATTCCCAAGGTTGTTCACATTTGGTATTTGATGCCAATGCCAATGATCAAAACTCAATTTCTCTTAATACAGACTCAAAAGATATAATATATAAATCGAAAATTGAATTCATAACGTAAAATAATTGATAATGTTAACGACAGTGCATGGCAACTCTGGATCTCAAGTCTCACCAAAATCCCTCTTCATGGATAGTCAATGTTCGCATTTCCCATCAAGCAACATACTAATTATTAACCTATTCACATAAATAATTTCCTTTTTCTCGTAATGACTGAAAAGTTTGATTAATTCCTCACAAGCATTTGCACTTAATTGCTTTGAATTTAAGTTGAAGGACTTCACCAATGCTTTCCCATCACATCACCACTTCCATCTACCCCAAATGATTCATATATAAAGAGAGCAACTTTCCACATTTCTCACCATCCAGCACAAACATTAATATTCCTGTTTCCACTCATACAATTATCATTCAACGTCCATACCATGTCACCAACAAACACTTTTGCAATTTTGGTCATCTTGAGCTGCGCCATCTCATTTGCCTTCGCTTCTGATCCTGACACTCTTCAAGACCTTTGTGTGGCACTTCCCTCTTCAGGTAATACACATCACTATTCACCATTTTAATTGCTCTCTAGCTCTTATAGTAAAAATAAATGTACCAAAATTGTGTATAGGAAAAGAGTATAATGATATGTGCATGATGTGTAATTAATTATGTGCATGCAGGTGTGAAGGTGAATGGATTTGCCTGCAAAGAAGAGTCAAATGTAACAGAAGCTGATTTCTTCTTTGCTGGTTTAGCCAAGCCTGGAGCTACCAACAACACATTGGGATCAGTGGTTACTGCAGCCAACGTGGACAAAATTCCAGGACTTAACACATTGGGGGTGTCTTTCTCAAGGATAGACTACAAAGCTGGGGGACTTAACCCTCCTCACACACACCCTCGTGCCACTGAGATTGTGTTTGTGTTGGATGGCCAATTAGATGTTGGATTTATCACCACAGCCAACAAACTCATCTCAAAGTCCATTAAGAAGGGTGAAATCTTTGTGTTCCCAAAAGGGTTGGTGCATTATCAGAAGAACAATGGGGATAAGCCTGCTTCTGTGCTTTCTGCCTTCAACAGCCAACTTCCTGGCACCTTCTCTGTAGCTGCAGCTCTTTTCACATCATCACCAACTGTTCCTGATGATGTTCTTGCTCAGGCTTTCCAGATTGATACCAAACAGGTTGACAACATTAAGGCCAAGCTTGCTCCTAAGAAGAGTTAAGTTGAGTTTCATGTCATGCCTGAGAGAGCAAGATTCAGTTATGATTAAGCCTATAATTTTCCTATATTTTCCCTATAATTCTTGAAATGTTATGATTTATGACTTATGGTGTTGCAGTTTGCTCATTAATTAAGTATAAGAATATTATTGTATCGGGGATTATAGTACATGTACGAGTAATACAAATTCTATAAAGTTGAAGTTGTCACCATGTATGTGGGTATGTTCCTTATTTGGTTTTGTGGTTCATTTTGTAAAGACAGAAACACTGAATAATGATTGGACTTTTACCACCATGCTTTCTCTTTCATGTTGGTTACTTGTTAAATCAGTTTGGTATGATGCAGACGTCTTAAAATTGGAGGCACTTAGATTATTTTTTTGACAGAAAATGGATTTCACTATTAAATGCTTTGTAAACTAAAAAAATAATAAGTGATAGAAAAAGCAAAGTGGTTTAGGTAGAAAAAGATATCCATGCAAATTTATAAAGAAAAACCAAAGAGACCCCTCGAGACCTCAAGAAGATGAAATTATTGGGTAGAAGTCAAACACATATAATTAAGTGTTATTAATTTTTTTTATAAATTAAAAAGTTTAAATATATATCATATAGATATTGGGTGGTCAATAGACATTTGATATACTATACTACCTAATAATTTATTCATCAAAAGAGATTAATTGAAGTGATTTGACATTCATGTGTTTTAATTAAAAACAGAATTCGATTTCTGATTTCAACATAAAGTTAATCAATATAATGGTAAAGTGTTATACATGTTTTTAAAACAAAAATAAAAATATGGAATCTTGTGATAATTTCTCCCTTGAAACTGACTGCTGAACTGGTTAAGTTATATGAATTGTAAGTACACACAAGTTTCTTTTTTGTAGTGTGCTCCATTCCACTCCTTTCTCATCCCCGCAAGTGCATGCAAGTTTGATTGGATCACTCCATTGACATAATGCATGTATGGCTGGCGGGTTTGTTAATTTGATTTGATATATTTAGTTGTTCTTTCGAAATTAAAAAGCACTCAGGATTAAGTAATTTAATTAACAATAATATCTACTTAATTATTATGTATGGTAAGAACTTGGCATGCATTTTAAACTCTGCATTGTATTGCAACAGCTGGTGGGTGATTGAGGCCAGCAGCTAAACTGTTGGTATTGAGTGTTGAACGCTAAAAAGTAAAAACGTTACGTTTAGCATTCTCATGCGTTACCGCTAAGAACATAGAAGATTCCAAACAACCACAATAGCAGAACTACCGAAGGAGACTTGCTCCAAATACAACAAAATCAACTACTTCAATCTGAAAACAATAATGATACTAGAGAATGTTAGATACATAAAATTTTCTTTTTAATTCTTTTACCTCATAAGGTGATTAGTTGGTAAATAATACTATAAGTTGTTGGTCCAAGAAACTCGATTCCAATTTCTTCTTAAGTGACGTCTCAGTCGGGTAATATAAATGTGGTTGAAAAAAAAAAGGCTATAGATCTATATTAATAAATACTATTTTAAAAATTAGTATTCAAAATGATACTATATAGAAATTAAATTTGTATAAATTGTTTTTTTTTTTTCATTTTATCTTATATATACTCCAAAATTTGAAGAAAAAGAAAAAAGGTGCTATAGGAAGTATAATCATTGTTTTATTATATTTTATCTCATTTTTAAAAATTAAACAAATAACTAATATTTTTACATTTAATTATATCGATGTAAATATAACAAGTTTAATTCAATCATATGCCTCTTAAATTTTTAGTTGCTCACTACTTTCCTAGGAATCACATTCCTAAAATATTATTATTGGAATATGATTCTTGAGAATATTTATAAATATGTTTGATGGGATTTTTTTTATTCATTGATGGAATTTTAACATGCTTAAATTAATTAAATAAAAAAATGAGTTGAATAAGTGGATTAAAATATAATTTCTACATTTTTATGGGAATACAACTTTTTCATCTTTCTCCATGAAAATCAAAATGGAGTAAATCATGTTGTGACTACTTTTTCGAGAATAAATTATACTTAGGGATAATTTTTCAAAACTCTAAATAAACATATGATTTAATATGCTATTTCCAACTCAATATTGTTGATAATTAGCTTTTAATTGTGAAATAAACACACTATCAAGGATTATTAAATCGTAAGACAGCACTCCAGTTTCAAAATTGCAGGTAAGTTTCAAATTTTTGATGGTTGCTCTAAACTGCGAGTAACACACTAGTTATGGAAAATTGATGAGTGCATGAAATATGTAATTTTATTGAATGTTTAGCACTATTTTTGAAATTATTGTGTACATTTAAATAGAATTCTTCCATAATTTTATTAGTAATTCAAAGGAAAATGTTAAAAAGTGTGTGGTGAATTTTTAATTAAAATTTTCTGTCTTTTGTGCAAGAAAAACAACAAAGTGAAAGATATATTTAGCGTCATAACGTTCATTCATGGTTGCAATTGTGAATAATGGAAAAATAATGAATAAGTTAGAGAACCATGACTATAGCGTTGGTTTGTAGCCATAGTAGTGAAAATTTGGAAGAAGCCAAGAACAAAGGGTCTCGGTGTTGCAACACTCAATCAACACCTCAAGCTATGAAAGTTTTCTTCACTATGAAGGACTCCTCACTGCTGCAGTAGTGATCCATGGCTACAATGATAGAGTTAAATATTCCATCTTTTCCCTTGCTTTTAAAGATCATGTAAATAGAAAACAAAGGGATAAAATAAAAAAGAAGGAAAAACATGAGATAGAGAGAAAAAAATTTCCAGAAGAAAGAGAAAAGCTTTAAAGGAGGTTTTGGAAGGCTAATATCTTTTGGGAACAAGAGTCTTTAGCTTCTCCATTTCTTCTTCTTGTTGTATTCTTCATATTTGTATTAGTTAGAGCCCTCATCATGAGTGGCTAACTTCTCTTAGATTGGGTTTGAATGTAACTACCAACACTTGTTAATCCTTCGAATCATATATATGTGTGTGTATTCAATTTATCATATTTGTGTTGTGATTTCGATCTTAATGCTTAAGTTGATTTGATCACTCATATATATTTTAATTTATAGTTTTGAATCTTGTTGAAAAACATTTTCTAAACTTGGTTTAGATCATTTCACCTAGCAATGACTTGTGCTAGGAATAGACTTGGATTTATTAGCCATTTACACCCTTATGCTTAATGCAAGGATTTAATATTGATCATTGAGGAATCATGTTTCAAGGTTTAATCTTTAGAGATTCAAGCTTGAGGAATTAGTTTGAGTGACTAAATGAAGGTGGGAATATAAGAACTTGAATTCATATAGAAGATTCATCGGAAAGCATATGTGTTGTGAAAGTACATTTCACCTCAATCTCTCTTGCATAAAATCACTTCTTGAATCAATTTTTTGTTAAATATCTCATTTAGAACTTATCTTAATTTACATAATCTGTTCAAATAAAATTGTGTATGGATGTTTATACAAATTAAACTAGGAGAAAAATTATATAATATCTCCAAATTCTTGAAAAAAAGATCTTAAATTTACTACACGAAGTTTGATCTACTTATCAAGTGTGAAAATCTTTCAAAGACAACATTGAGTTCCTTTTTTTAAGTATACATACATTTATTTAAATTTAAATAATAATAATAATAAATATAAATTTAAAATATTCAAAATTAAATTACAGGTATATACTTAATCAATTCAAAATAATTTGATTTTAAAATTTAAAGAAATTAATAGTCATATGTGTCTTATAACTTGATATATAAAGATAAATAAAAGTATTAAAACTATTTAACCTTATAAAAAGATTTTCATTTTAACTATTGAGGTAGGCACAATATAGTATACATGATGCTTGAAAAAAATAAAATGAAATAATTATAAATAAAGAATCCTTTCTATTTAGAAAAAAAAAAAAAAAAAAAAAAAACCCCCCTTTTATTTTGTAACCCCAAAAAAAAAAAAAATCCTTTTTTTTTAAAAAAAAAAAAAAAAAAAAAAAAGAACCCTCCTTATATTTGTCAATTAGTTTCATCATTTGAATAATAAAACATTGATCTAGTATATATGTAATATTATATACAATTATTTCTATTCGTTACTTTTTATTATTTTTATTTTATATACATGCATGTTGAAAAATATTTTTTTCAACGTATAAATTTTTATTATCTCACTAATTTTGAAAAATAATTTTTCGTATCGACCTACCTTATATATAGGCTTAATTATACACTTTTGTTCTTTCTATTTCTTAATTTTGTGAATTTTATTCTCTATCTTTTTGTTTTTGCAAATTTAATCCTACTATTTTCATTGTATTAAATCGGCCTAACTTTGGTTCTAGCTCAAAATATAAACTCATAATGTGACAAATTAGTCACTAAAAGAGTTGTTAATATTTAACGTTTGATATGCCTTACAGAAAATTATTTTTGAATGAGCATACATGTGAGGAACTAAAAGAAAATATACAGTAAAATATCATATATTAACTTAACATATAATATTAAAAAAATACTGACATGACAATGTAATGCACTATTACATTAAATCAACACAATTATACTAACATATATTAATTGCAGTAGTAAGTTAGTACTTTCATTAAATACTAAATTAATAGATGAACTAAAATTATATAATTAAAATAAAGAACAAATTTACAAAATAAATAAATAAATAAACAACAAACTAAAATTGCAATTAATACATTTACTTATAATATATAACAATGAAAGGAACCATAGAACAAAAGCAGTGCGTGTCAGCTTCTAAAGGGGTCCTAGCTATGACCCATCCACTCAAAGGTTGTTCAGATTTGGTAATTCATGCCAACAGTCAATTTCTCTTAATACTGACTCAAAAGATATAATACAATTAAATCGAGAACTGAACTAGCCAAAACTTTATTTAGGACATATAATCACATTAATCTAAATATTTTATAATTTACCATTAAACCAAATAGCGTATTAGAAAACAACCGAACCACAAACATGATTGATAATATTAGTTCAAAGTAATAATTTGATAATTTAATCATGATTAAACTAAGTAGTATAATAAAAATAGTCAAATCAGAAAATTGATTGATTTACTGTTTAAAGTGAATTTCATGGAAGAAAAAAAAACCAATTTACTTTGATTTCTATCCATTCACATGAATAATTTTCTTTTATAGTAAAGACTTAAAAGTTTATAGAACTTATATAAAGTCTTTTTACACAATTGCTTTGAATTCAAGTTGAAGGACTATACTAACACTTTACCATCACATCCATCTACTCTGCCCATAACCACTGCCTGCTTACAAATAATGCATATATAAAGAGAGCAACTTGCCACATTTCTCACCATTCAATACAAATATTCTTCTCTTTTCTCTAGCTATATATAATAAAAAAACCTTTTCTGTTTCCACTCATTGCAATTAATACAATCATCATTCAAGAAACCATGTCACCAACAAACACTTTCACAATTTTGGTCATCTTCTGCTGTGCCATCTCCTTTGCCTTCGCTTCCGACCCTGACACACTTCAAGACCTTTGTGTGGCTCTTCCCTCTTCGGGTAATATACATCACCATTCACCATTTTAATTTCTCTCTAGCATTATAACTTCATGTACAATGATGTGTAACTAAATATGTGCAGGTGTGAAGGTGAATGGATTTGCCTGCAAGGCAGAGGCAAATGTGACAGAAGCTGATTTCTTCTTTGCTGGTTTAGCCAAGCCTGGAGCTACCAACAACACATTGGGATCAGTGGTTACTGCAGCCAATGTGGACAAAATTCCAGGACTTAACACACTGGGGGTGTCTTTCTCAAGGATAGACTACAAAGCTGGGGGACTTAACCCTCCTCACACACACCCTCGTGCCACTGAGATTGTGTTTGTGTTGGATGGCCAATTAGATGTTGGATTCATCACCACATCCAACAAACTCATCTCAAAGTCCATTAAGAAGGGTGAAATCTTTGTGTTCCCAAAAGGGTTGGTGCATTATCAGAAGAACAATGGGGATAAGCCTGCTTCTGTGCTTTCTGCCTTCAACAGCCAACTTCCTGGCACCTTCTCGATAGCTGCAGCTCTTTTCACATCAACACCAACTGTTCCTGATGGTGTTCTTGCGCAGGCTTTCCAGATTGATACTAAACAGGTTGACAACATTAAGGCCAAGCTTGCTCCTAAGAAGAGTTAATTTAAGTTGATTCAGTCTTATAGTTAATTAAGCCTACTTTTCCTATATTAATTTTTCTCTATAATTCTTCAAGGGTTGTGATTCATTGTATTACTTCCGATGTTGCATTTTGCTCAATGATGTGGTGTCGAGTATAATGATATAATTGTATGATGGATTATAATTACAGAGTACTTGTTAAGAATAATACAAGTTCTATGAAGTAGTTGTCTCCTTTTATGTGGGTATGTTCTTTTCTTTGTTTTCTGGTCATAGATTATGTAAACACAACAAATATTAGACCTTTTGATCCCACTCTCTTTCATGTTGGTTAGTTGTTAAATCAGTTTGGTAAGATGTGGACACCTTAAAATTGGAGTACTCGATTTTTATTATTATTATTTTATAGAAAATGGATTTCATTATTCAATGCCCTTCAATAAAAAAAATAAAAAATAAATCAGATAATGGCCAAAATAAAGTGATGATTAATTACAAATCATGAGTGTAGTGTACACGAGTTCAATTCCTCCAATATCCTCCACTCCATCCCTTTTTAATACGAGTCTCTCATAGACAAGGGAAAAAAAACTGAATAACAAATTATTTGGAATCACTTAAACTTATTTAACCATTATTATTTTGCTCTAGTCATCTTTTAATGAAGTTCTATTGGAGTTGTTTAAATTGATGATGTAGGCACTGGTCCTTACCTACGTTGCACTCTTCCTGATTTCCATCACCAACTTTGAGTGATTAGTTCTTGGTACTTTGCTTTGATGGCATTGTCCATAGATTAGCAATGAAGTAGTTACACTTGTACATGTCATGATGACGTTTTAAGTATATGTTACATACTGGTTTAAAAATATATTTAACAGTAAAATACGAACTATAATGTAAAAAAAAAAGAAAAAAAAACATTATAAATATATTTATTTTTTTCAATCTGAATTGAGTTGAACTCAACTGTTTCACTTTGGTGCACATAACATAAAAGAATATTTTTTTACTATTACGTCTTCACCTACTTTTTAGTAAGTTTATTATATTGTCGCTTTTACTTGTGAGCAAAGGTTGAAAATTTTCATTATTTTTTTAATTTAATTTTTAAGAGAAAAATGAAATAGAACAAGACCTCTTTTTATTTAATTTTAACTCTTTTTTATTATTAGATAAATTTGTAGGAAAGAAGAGAGATTTTAAAATATTTTGAATATAATGTCTAAAATATTTTCACTAATACTGTAAAGTTTAAAATTATAAAAGTAAAAAAATTAATTGATTCTTAAAATTTTATTTCTCCTTTTTGCGAATTAAAAAAAAAAAAACTATCCCTTTCCCCCTCTTAATCAAATAAAATTTTGAATTTCTTCTCTTCACTCCCTTTCCCTCCCTTCTCATTTCTCCCCTCTTCACTAAAATCCCTATTCTCCTTTCTCTTATTTTTAACCAAACGTAATTCTTAGAGGTGACAACAAAATTAATAATAGTGGATTAAATAAAAATGTATACTTATATTATATTTTAGATGGAATAAAAATAGATAAATAGAATTTGGTTTCAAACTTTATTAAAATAATTTTAAATCATAATAAAATTAATAGTTGAATATCACTACTACAACAACCATATGTGATAACTATAACAATGATCACAATGATGATGGTTGACAATAGAAGTGAACATAGTTGTAATGATAATGATAAAAGTAGTAATAATAGACAAAATATTATAAAAGATGCTTACAATTAAATGTTAATTTCTGTTCTTACTAGAGATCGGTGGTTGGAACAATCTGCTGGGTAAGATTGGTGAGCCTCCTTCACGGGTACGTCTCGTGCTCCAAGATGGGGGTGGTACCTGCAAAAGAGACTCCGATGCCAAAGTTAGTGTTTGTGGATAAACGAGTCTAGTATAAGTAATGAAAGTCCATTAGGGTGAATTAGAGTTTTCATGGGCCTTGGGCCCGAGATCAGTTATGACCCATTTGGATGTCGAGCTGACATGGCCTAGCGCGTGTCCGAGGTCACGTCGCGCTGAGATGTCGAGCTCGAGCTCGGCATAGCAATACGGATAGTACACTAGCCCCCCGAGCTCCGAAGACCGTGGGTCGAGGAGTTGATACCGAGCTTGGTAAAGGGACGTGACTCTTGGCGTACGCTTCTCTCTCGCGATGCCATGTGTCATAAGTGTCACCTCGCTCCCCGAAACGCGCAGGCGACGTGTTAATGGGAGGTGACGGTTATGTAGACGTACCTTAGTAATATTAGGGTTTTTATTGTCTACCGGCACATTGGCATTGTTAGGATTTTACCTTGTGATTGCGGCGCGGTGACAAGATTATATTTTTATATGTTTGATGACGTGGCCTCTGTGGGTCGATGTGGTATTCCGATGTCCATGTTTCATGGCTGAGCTGAGAAACTCGGCAATAATGAGTTTACTGTTTGGTCAGGCTGGTAAACCCTTGACCGAGTCAATAGATTGGAATAATATATACTTTAATTAATGAGATATCATTTTAATTAGTTAATAAGCATTTGAAATTTGTACCGGAGAGACCGTATCGGTCACGTGGGCCAACACGTGTCATTTCGTCAGACACTCATGCATAGCCACGTACAAGCATCACCATCAACGTCGGCTCGGCATGAGGCCGAGAACCGACATCAGTCTGGTTAATGCCAATATGGACCATCATCACTCATCGAGTCGGCTCGGTCAAGTACCGTTCCGACATAGATCATACCGGAAGTATACAGGCTGCCATATACGGACTAGACGGTTCGGTCATTTGCCGTTCCGACTAGTATTGAATAG